TTTCTCAAAATCACATAAAGTCATATTATAACATCGACTAAGATAAAGAATAAAATGAAATATTAAAATCACGATGAATCTCGCTGCATTGCGCGAGTACGCTTCTAGTATATATATAATTGGGTCGTGAAAAGCATCGTCATATTAATTTGCGTGTGTTACCATATATATTTTGAAATTACAATGAGAACACAAATTTTTCTTGGTAAAGTTGGTTTGTAAGGTTTTTTTTTTTTCACCCTAAACCCGAGTTCAAATCCTCTTACTCTATTAGTATTATTTTTTTTAGTTTTTAACTTTTAATTTCAAATCTATTACATGGTCTGATTTTTTTTTTTGCAATAAAAGACTTGAAAACATGATCTTACATATGAAAAACAATAAAGTAACCAATAGACTAATGATAATTGTGTGAAAAATATATCCGTATATTTATTTTTATAGTCAAATGGTAACCACCTATTTTGTGGGTAGTCCGAAGTCACCGCATTTGAATCTCAGTAGCCGCAAAGAAACTTTTATTCCTTGTTGGGTTTGAACATGAAACCTCCAGACATTTTTTTATCTTTGAAGTCAAAGTTCAAACCAATCAGACACCATCCCCGTGGTTACAAAAATTCATTTCAGTAACTCGCAGTGCAAAAAGCTAGCATTGGGGATGCTTTTAAGCTGCATGACGTATATGAAACTGGAGACATAATAAAATTTATCGTCTCACATTTCATATGACATGAGACATGATAAAAACTCACTGTTTCATGTTTGACATGATATGATACAAGACAAAAACTCAATATTCCATATTGAAATCTCCATTTTTTTTAAAACGTGTTCAAATCTTTATAAAAAAAACTCGTTGGTGTTAAAATAAATTGTTTCGTTATTAAACTTAAATTAAATTATACTAAAAAAGTGAACTAAAAAAGTATAAACAAACGAGAATTTTTAAATTGTTAATTTGATACTAATATGAATATAAATTTATGGGTTTCAAATTATATTTTATTTTAAATACAAAAACATTATCATTTTCTCCAAATCATATTAGAAAATAAAACACTAAAATCAAAATATATCTCACATTATTGCACGAGTATACTTCTAGTAAACTATAAATGGGCAAATTCAAATTTAACTTAATTATTGGTGGTGGTGGTGGTGGTGGTGGTGGCCGCAGCAGTAGCAGTAGCAGTAGTAGCAGTAGCAGTAGCAGTAGCAGTAGCAGTAGCAGTAGCAGTAGAAGTAGCAGTAGCAGTAGTAGTAGCAGTAGTAGTAGTAGTAGCAGTAGTAGTAGTAGTAGCAGTAGTAGTAGTAGCAGTAGTAGTAGTAGTAGTAGCAGTAGTAGTAGTGATGGTCAAAAACCGGTCCCGGACCGGTCCCAAGATTTCTCATAACCGGCCATAACCGGTCCCGGTCCCGTTCGAAAAAGTTGAGCCCAGTCAAGCTTTATTGTAACCGGTTATGGGCCGCCGGTCCCGGTCATTAAAAATAATTTTTATTTTTTTAATGATACATATTTTTAATAAACTATAAAATTTGTAATTGGGTCACTCAAATACACTTTAAAATATGATTTATTATAATTAAAATTACATTGTCTTATAAAATATAGCGAGAAACCGATAATTATGAACGTTTTTTTGCCTTTTTTGCGAATTGAGAACTTAATATGTAAATCCCTCAACCAATACACTTATATATAGTGTTTATAAAGAAAAAAATACAAAAAGAAAAAGCCAAAAAACGGCTACATTTTTTTTTAAAAATAGCTACATTTTTAAAAAATCTGGCCGGACCGGGCCGGTTTGGTCATCAATAAGTAGCAGGCTTGGAATAAATCAGGCCCAAATACAAATCAAATTGAATCAACCCAACACAACCCGCTTCAATAAATAGGCTCACAAAGAGCTATTTTTTCTTTTTTTATAAAAAATTCTAATTTTTATTTTTATTACTTTCATTTTCTTCATTTTTTTTACGTTTTATGGGTTTGTGCTTCTAAGAGGGTTGTTAGCGTCGAAGCCTTTGAATGCTAAACGGATTCATGTTGAAAAGCTTGTATATTTATTTAATCAATTTTAAAGGGGGTAAAATGCAAAATACAATAAGATAGAGGGGCTGTTTTGCCCTCTTCTATAATCCAAGAACAACGACTCGGGGACTTTTTAAACCCTAAATCATGCACTTCCATTTCTCGTACGTGTTATGTGTTAGGATGTAGCTACGAGATAGAAACTCACATGTCAGATGGTGGTTTTTACCGACACCTCGTAAAAATTTAATTTAAAGAACTTTAATTGATATTTATACTGGTTGCTAATGCTTTCGTAAAATGAAATCATTCCTAATAAATTGATTGAGTGATTCTAATACCAATTGTCGTAATTAAACCAAAATACTGTACAATATTAACTAAGTGGAAGTTGTAAACGTGAAATCATTGACATGCAACAATCAAAACTCAATCAGTTCAATATAATATAAAACATAATTAAGAAATTATAACTGATATTATTTGTATGAAACATTGGATTTGACGTGTCTTCCTATTCGATTCAATTCTACGATAGTTTCTATGTGTTAAACTGTAATCTCGCTTTATATGTCATTAATGGAATGATGAACTTCATTTATAGTTAAAATGACGCCTAAATCAAATGAGAACCTTATACTTTGTGAGACGATAACCAAGAAAATCATAACTTTCATTTTTATCTCAAATCAACCGTCTTTCCTCTTGCTTTCACCGTTGTGATTTTGACTATCAACAACCTTTTCCTGCCTTCAACATACAAACACCTTCGCGGTCTCTAATCCCCATCACCATGATCGTTACACTTCTCAGGTCTCCATCTGGATCTCACCCCTGTTATCACTATCGAACTCCACTTTGACCGATCTTTATCGTCGCAGCTCAAAAGTACCAGAAGGTCTCAGGTTCAAATTCAAGGAAGAATAAAAATCCCCTTGTGACCATGGAGGTTCAAATGCGGTGACTCCGGACTATCTGCAAAGCAGGTGGTCGATCTGGGATTAGTCGGCTCATATAACGGATTGGATATCCAGGTTAATCAAAAAAAAAAAAAAACTTTCGCCACCAATTGTTTCTTCATCACCCATCCTCCCTATTGTCATCTGTCACCATCGGGTTTCATTGTTGCTCCTCTCTTCTCCTTTCTTTCTCTCTCGTTCTTTGCTTGCCACAACCTTCCTCTGTTACCTCTTTACCACTGTCTTCTACTTCCCTTCCCATTTCGGTCATAACCCAAAGCAACCACCAATTACTAGAAATTACAAAAATATTTTTAGAATTGTTATATATTTTTAATTTTTGGTTGACTAATGGGGTGTTTGGGATTGCTTATCGAAAGTGTTTTTTAACTTATTTCAGTCTGGCACCGGAGATAAGCAGTTTTGTAGTGTTTGGGTAAGGAAAAAAAATGCTTATACCGGTGCCAAACCGGTAATAAGCAGTTTTTGATAAGTTGATCATTTTTAACTTATGAAAATCAACTTATTACCAGTTTACAATTTTAACCCTGTGTAACACCCTTTCATCAAATATCTCTCAAAATTGGATCGATATCCTATCATCTCCTGTAACAAAGAGATATCCAACAGATTCAGATATCCATCTTCTCCAGAACCATCTTCACGAACAGGAACCATCTTCACGACCAGATCGTTCCTCTTCTCCAGAACCATCTTCACGAACAGATCGTTCGTTCCTCTTCTCCAGAACCATCTTCATGAACAGATTGATAGAACCATCTTCACGAACATGCTCCAGAACCATCTTCACGAACAGAACCTAGATCGATATCAACAGAAACATCATCGTCTACCCGAACCCACAACAGATACGATATTGTGTATGGCTTTGATTTCCCTCCTGTTATCTAATGTTTTCTTCCTGAAATTGTTGTGGATTCCCAGCTTATTTTTGCTTTCTTTATAAATTTGTTTACTTCAATTTGGGTGGATTTGTTCCTATCAGTTTTGCCCCTTTTTATTCTGTTTTCTTTCATAAGATTTTTGCCAAAGAGACAATAGAGAACATGCATCATTTATATATATATTTCTGCCTTCAAAAAGAATAGCAGCAGCATCAAAACAGTGCAATACTATATATATATATATATATATATATATATATATATATAATATTAATTGTCGTTAACCCTTGTGATAGGGTCAAATATTATCTGGAAAAAAGATGGTATATACATTTGCATCAACTAGAACTGCAGAAGTGGGTTACTGAGCATAGCTTAAGAGTTAAAACCAAGGGATTGTTTGTTAAGGACCTAATGGAAATCAAAGCTTATTCGGTAAACTATACATGACTATTTGGTAAAGGGTTAATGAGAAAGAAAGTGGTTTATTCATAAAGCTTCTAGGGAAATAGCCCAACTAATAACCAAAGAAATTATAGATAAAAAAAACTTGGTGGTTCATTAATGAGTGTTAAAAAATTCAGTCATATAGTCTTGTTACAGCTACTGATTTTGGTTTTGGAGTCAAAATTCCTTGTTACTTTAATCCCTTAATAGTGAAATTACATTGGATGGCCTGAACCCACTTTATAACCCCCCTAGGAATTTGTTACTTTCCTGCCATAGTTTAGTGAAGTTATAATTGTGCTTAATTTGGTTCCACTTGTTTGGGTTCTGGTGAAGTATGTACGTTTGCCTTTATATATTGCACTTTTGTTATATATGCTGTTATTAACGAACAATATATGTTTTCGTACCATTTGAAACGAATAACAATAGTTTGTTTATTTTTCATAACAGATAAGTATTATGTTGTTGATGCTGGATATCCAAATACTAAAGGTTATCTTGCCCCATACAAAGGAACAAATATTCGTTATCACATACTTGATTTCCGTCGCGGACAAACTGCAGCAACACGTGCTCCCAAAGGAGCAAAAGAGACATTTAATTATTATCACTCATCACTAAGGAATGTTGTTGAACGAACTTTTGGAGTATGGAAAGCTAGGTGGCAAATACTAAAAGATATGCATGCCAATTACACCTATGAGACACAAGTAAATATTGTGCTAGCGTCGATGGCAATTCACAATTATGTTAGAATGAACGGAAGTTTTGACGAAGCATTTGACATGGCTCAACAAGAATCATACAACCCTCATATTGATATTGATGATGAAGGATGTGGTAGCAACAATGAAGCACATGAAAACACAAGTTTTCGTCGTAGGAGTGACGATCTATATATGAGTGTTGTAAGAGATATGATTGCAGGAGATCTAATAGGTAGATCCAGATGAATATTTATTATAAATGATGATCTATTTTTTGTTATTGATATTTTGGTTATAAAAGTTTGACATTTTTTGTTATTGATATTTTGGTTATAAATCTATTATTTTCATCATAAATTATTAATGGTATTGGTATAAATGTTTGTTAATTATTCTTATTGCTACAAATTATTAATCTTATTGATATAAATTTTTGTGATAGATATTATTATAAATAATAAAAAATAAATTTTTATATCGTTAAAAAATCAAATAAGTTAATAAGCAATCCCAAACACTCTCATAAGTCAATGATATGGAAGACTGTCCTTTTTGGTCATTTTACAGATATAAACAAAATTTGCCAAACACTAAAAAACAACTTATCAGCTTATTGCAGTTTGGTACCGCTATAAGCTAATCCAAACACTTTTTACAAAACTCCGGTTTGATACCACATAAGTTAATAAGTATTTTTACAAAAAAACATAAGTTATTTTAAATAAGCAATCCCAAACACCCCCTAAATCTATTGAATGATGATAATAAATAATAATAAAACAATAATTATTTATTTATTAAATAAATGAATTATATGACAATAATGATTCAATATAATTAATTAATAATTTACAATTACTATTAATTAGTAGTTCATAATTAATTACAACTAAAAATAATTAAAGATATAATTAGATAGAGTGACAAAAAACATTCCTTCTAGAGCTTAATGTAAGGGGTTGTTTACCAAAAATTTTATTGAGTCCTATATAGATAAATTTGTCTGTCCGGATAAATGAGTGTTGTTGTTTATTTTTTTTATCTGAACCAACAGTCTGAATAACATAAATGAATGATTTAACCCCCAATATTAATTATTTGAACATCAAAACAAAAAAAATCATAAAAAGGTTGATGATGAGGTGTTTCATTTGAGAAGGAGGCGATGCTTTAAATAATGGGTAGAGGTGTCATTTTTGTGGCTGAAAGGGGACAACACACCATTTCTATCTGTGCGATTAAGCCATGTTCTGTGCGAATAAGCCGTAAGTAAACAACCCAAATGAGCTGTGCGAATAAGCTAGATAGACTAATAAGCCTAATTAAGCCGCAAGTAAACAACCCCTAAATGACGTTTCAATAAGTTAGTTTATATATAGTTATTCAAATAAGATCTTTAAAATAATCTTAATAAATAATTTAGTTTATAATTATCAAATATCGATATAAAGACAAAAATATCATATAAAGCAATATCGATAATAAAAATAATCATAAATAAAACAAAATAAGCATAGGACATGAATAAGTCACGGACAATATCTAATAAAAGGAAGACTTTTGTTTTAAGTCGTCGTACACATTATTGTTATCCCTTTCATTCTTTCAACGTCCACATCATCCTCTAGACAAAATAAATTTAAGTTCAATATTTAAATTATACCTAATTATTTAAAAATATTGTTTGCTAATAACAACTTGGAAAATATTAGGTTTGAACCACTAGAAAATGGTCGAATTTAGTAGGGTTTTTTATAAGAAAATTAATTATTTGATTAATTATTATATTTTAAAACAATATTAGTCTCATTAAATAATTTCAGAGCAATGTTCACTTTTGGTCCTTCACGTTTGTAATTTATAATGATATCGTTTGTCAAATGTTTGAGGTTCTCTTTTTAACTATTGTTAATTTTTTTTGTTAAGTTCAGTGAAATAAAAAATATTTTAGTTATTTTCATTATTTTTTTATTTTATATTAAAATAAAAAAACATTTGATGTTAAATATATATATATATATATATATATATTAATATATATATTTGGGAGAGATGGGGATAAGAAAAAGTTGGTGAATATGTATGTGTTTCCTGGGATTCGAAGAAGAAACTGTTTATGTGGTTTTTGTATGAATATTTGTGGCTATTAAAGTTATCATCTACCTGTGAATTCAAGGTGAGTTTTACTTCGAAAATATATTTGATGTGTTTTTGGGTGAAAAAACCATAGGATTTCATATATGATGCTTTAATATGATTATATGAAATTTATTAGTATAAATTTTGGGTTTTTATATGATTCTATCATCTGATTGTAATAAGGGTGACAAAATAAGAAGATGTGTATTTTTGAGAATAAGAGTGTCATAATCAAGAGTTGGGTATATTGTTGTAATAACGGTGACATAACTAGGAGATGAGTATACTAGGATAAAGATGGTATAATCAAATATTGGATATGATGATGTTTTGATCATGGGATTTTTCGATATCGCATTTGTATGTTGCGATGAGTGAAATTTATCGCATTTGAACGATGGGTAAAAGTTCTTGATCCAATCATAGTATCAACTAAATACAAGAAGTGGAGAAGGAAACACAAAACGTTATGTAACATTATATATTTAATGCCGTTTGGTTTTATGATCCAGATAATAACAAAAGACGGAAACTTTTGCTTATGACATCATGTTTAAGAGTCTTGTACATTTTTTCTAGGCTTGTTTTGTTTTGATTCATATATAAATTTGGTATGTAATGATTTGGATTTGAATTTGAATTTGGTATGTTTATGATTACTTTTGATGGGTTTTTTTTTGTTTTATTTTGGTTATCGAAGAAACCAGCCGAACGAAGTGCGCGAGTCTGCTGTTAGGTGAGAGACTGAGAGTTAAAAAAAGATGAGCTTTAATGAAATATAATAAGAAAAAGAGTAGAAAAGAGTAAAAATCCAAACTCACCCTTTTTAGATAAATTTCCTAATCTAACAGATGTTAGTCAGGGGGATCAAAAGTGAAACAAAAACGACCGAAAGAGTAATTAGTTGTATATAAAAACCAGACTTAAGACATTCGATAGTGCTCAAAAATGGAATTTAGTGGGAGTATTATTCTACTTGTAATAATAACAATAAATAATTGAATTGATGGATGTTGACATGAAGTACTAAAAAAACCGACCACAAAGATTCAAATGTGGTGACTTCAGGCTATCTGCAAAGCAGATGATCGTCATGAGACTAGTCGGCTTGCATAACGGGGTTAGATATCCTGGAAATTGTTGAGAAATCATTTAATTAATTGACATTTAATGGATAAAAACCATGATATTAAAACATATTATATAAGTTAAGAAATTGATATTTATATGTTACAATTGAATTCTTTCCAAACTCCGTGAGACCATGAGAGAGGCCAATTATTTTTACATGTTCAAATATAAGAAACAAACAATACAATTACTTCACTTTGACCCATCATCACTTTACATCTAGTTTTATACACACTTAAGATTGATTAATGCGGCGAAAGAGCACCATAAGTTTGCCCTCGAGAAGCCGGCCCCGGTGCCGGTGCCGTTGCCGGAGCAGTGGATTGAAGATCGGAGGACTCCAATGTATAACGTTTGGGGCAATTTACAGTGAGATATTTTGCATAGGGGCAATAAAGAGGAGGAGTCGAGTAGAATTTACGACAATCGGCCGGCGATCTCTGATTCGGAAGATCGATAATGCAGTTCATCTTCATATCAAGGACTCCAGTCTTGATCAGCTTCCGACACTGTGGGCCAACCTCGGTGAAATAATTGTATGAAAGGGTGAAATTCGATAGCTTCGGAAGGCTGCACACCGCCTCCGGTACTATGCCGGAGAACTTATTATGAGCCAAGTTCAGGAGCTCCATTTTCTCTAAGCACTGAAATGAGGATGGGATTGGGCCGGTTAAGCTGTTACCGCCGACGTCAAAGACGGTGGCTTTCCTCAATAATCCGATCTCATAGGGTAAGCATCCGGTTAACTGGTTGTTTAAGAAAAGAACTTCGAGTAGGGTATTGGAAGCATTACCGATGGTCCGAGGGATTTCTCCGATGAATTTGTTGTTAGCTAGGGTTAGGTAGAGCGCCGGAGTGGAGCCAAGGGTGGCGGGCAGTGTTTGTATGAATCTGTTGTTGTTGATGAAGAGCAAATCGACGTCGAGTTGAAAGACTTGTGGAGGAACTTTGCCGTAAAAATTGTTGTACCGGAGGTCGAGGAATACTAACTTGGTGGCACCGAGGACGGCGTTGGGGAAGCTGCCGGAAAGTTTGTTGTTACTGAGGTCGAGCTCGTACAAGTATTGGAGTTGGCTGATATTTTTGGGGATGGTGCCCAGGAAGCCGTTGGAGTTTGCATGGAAGAAGGCGATGTCTTTCAGACCTAGAATCAACTCGGAGAGGGTTAGGTGTGGGCCGGAGAAGTTATAGCCGTTGAAATTGACGCCGGCGACGGTCTTCATTTTGACATTCGGTACGATGTCGCAAATGAAGCCTTTGTAGTCTTGGCAAATCCTTTTGCCCTTCCATGTTTTTGTAATTCCTTTGGGGTCCGATTTCACTTTGCGTTTGAAGGTCTGGATTACGTTGAAGGCTGCTGCCAGTAGCGAGCTCTCGAAACCACCACTTGCTGGTGGTAGCGGTTTTGGTGGTGGTGGTGGTGGTGACGGTCTTGGTGAAGGTGGTGGTGATGACAGTTTTGGTGAAGGTGGTGGTGGTGACGGTGACGGTGGTGGTGGTGGTGGTGGTGGTGACGGTGACGGTGGTGGAGGTGGTGGTGGTGGTGGTGATGGTGGTGGTGGGCATGGTGGAGGTGGTGGAGGGGGACAATCTTGATATTCCGGCGGTGGCGATGGAGGGTCAGCACCACCACCGATGATGATCTGGAGTGCTTCTCTATGAATAAGTTGGCCATTGATAGCAAAGAAATGGGTGATGCAAATGAAGAGTAGAAATGTACGACAACCGCCGACCATCGCTGCTCAGTCGACTCAGGAGACGGTTTTGTTATAAATAATATAGATATAAGAGTCTGGTCCGCACCAGCTTTAATATTAGTCTCATAATAATTATTATAAACTATTTTTAAATTAATAAAAAATATTATATTTATATATAATAATATAAAATATGGGGTAGGGCCTTGTCTGATATGGGCAAAAGAATCTTTTGAAAAGGTTGCGATATGCATTATTTCACATGTGAATAGCGGGTGTCTTTATTGCAAGGGCATTCGTGTTTTGTTTTCTTTGAATTGGAAGAACAATAAAATGAAAAAGTTTTTGGCCATCTTTTTTCTTTTGAAAATGATGGACCAGAATATTAATTCATAATTCTATGGTAACGGAATAACACATATTTTACCCATATCCTAACTTGTTGTCGGGCCTAGTTTTTTGTGTACCATCAAACGGAAAATAGACGAACGTTCGTAACTTTTCAAACCAACCATCAAATATAAAACCTTGTTCAAATCCGCAAAACCATCCTCACCGGACTCGTGTGTTTTCGCAAAACTGAAATGATGCATAATAACTACTTGCTTTTTCCAAGTCAATGAAGGAACAAATGGTTGGCCAAAAAGTTCATGATGCTTAAGAGACAAAATTAATGGCTAAGGGCCTGTTTACTTGAGGCATAATGAGCTTAGTGGAAAAATTGGCTTATTCGCACAGACTTTCAAGGCTGTTTACCTCGGGCTTATTCGTTCAGAAATGAGCTTATTCGCCTAGATGTAAATTCTAGCTTGTCCAGGTTAAGCCGGCCAAAAGATTGCCCTACTCTTATCTTATCGCGCCTCTCTCTTTTACGAAACACCCTATCGCGCCTCTTCTCCATCGATCCAAACTCTAATCGAAGGTCTCTTCTCCATCGATCGACAGTGTATTCTCCATCGATCACGGCCCTCTTCTCCTAATCGGTAACTCTATACTTCTCCTCCAAACACGTTTAGGTTCTGCTGTTTGTTGTTTGCTGTTTCTGTCTCGATTTTTTTGATGTTATAAACGATACAATAAACCTCAATTAGGTTGTTGTTTGCTTTATATGACCCTCAATTAAGTCACGTTACATCATTAGATGAATATGGTAAGAATCAAGAATCTTACCTGGTAAGAGCGATACAAGGACCAATTAGACTCTTACCCGGTAAGTGAGGACGATGACTCTTACCACAGTAAGCGCTTAACGAGTAAATTATTGCATACGATGTCGTTTTGTAGGACTAAAATCTTACCTGGTAAGTAAATAATAGTGTTAAATTTTACCAGTAAACACTTACCGGGTAAATGTTAGGTGAATCCCACATCGAGTGATTATAAGGAGAAAGATTTTGGGCATGTCTAACAAGGACGTCAAAAGTTTAAGGTGAAGAGTTTGTAGCAAATCGTCCCACATTGATAGTGAATGAGATTCACGAGCTCCTTATAAGCATCAAGTTTGTAAGACCAATCTGTTTGTTTTGGGATGTTACAAATATTTTACCGACTTATTTTTAATACTTACATTTTATATTCTTATAGTTATTTATTTTATGTCCTTACTTTTTAGATCTTTTACACACTTATCATATCAACATGCATAGTCATATATTAACCAAAATATATTAAAAATATATTTTTAAATTAAACAATTATAAGCTGCTCATGAATACCTTCAAAATGAGTCAGATATTGAATATTTTTGAAATTGATTACATTATTAAGTGAAAAGTCCAGAAGTATCCAATGAACTTTTTGATTTTGAAGAGTATTGCAATTGGGATGTTGATGGAAACCATTACATAAAAATGGTATTAATATAAGAGTAGTCAGTGCCATAATTGCTCCACAATGTAAACATTAAAGATTTCTCAATGCAACTACATTGACTTATTGTAAACGTAATCATGAATATATTGACTTATATGGTTGATAACATCACAAAAATTATTTTATCATTAATAACATCTTTTATTTTATAAATAATGAATAATCATTTTTTTAAATTAATAAATTAATAATTATAAAGTTTAATTTTTATTTGTTCGAAATTTAAATTTTAATTAAATTTGTAATATTTAAAACGTATCTTCATCAATATATTATTAATTAATTAATATGATTATGGTATAAAATATAAAAAATAGAAAAGTAAGGGAAGTAGCAAAGATATATCAAAAGGGTGAAAAATGATAAATCAATAAAGTATAAGGATTAAAATCAAAATTATGCAAAAGGTTAAAAATGAAATTTAATTGCAATGATTTGAGTGTTTTTGTGTTTTAGTGTACAAGGGGTATAAAAAGTGTAGATTTTTATAGGATGGGTTGTCAATAGAAGTTGCCATTATTAATTCATCTTTATTTCCTCTTTTGAATAAAGTAATGGAGCGTTTGATTCACAGAATAAAATTTAATGAAATTGGAATTTATCGATGGAAATTGACTTTGAAGAAATCAAAATGAAATTTGATCACACTTTTGATCGATAAGAACTGGAATAGAATCTCGCAAAAGATTCAAAATACACATCTATCGAGGGTGGAGATGACAGTTGTGACGACGACAATAGCGATATGGTGGTGTTGGAGGTGGATAGGTAAGGTGGGTATTTTTGTTTTTCTACAATAAAATTATAAATTATGTTACATTTGCCACGAAATAAAATTTCAAATCCTTCACATATGCAAAGGAATTGGAATTCGGTGGAATCCAATCAATTCATTCCACAAACCAAACATCATTAAAAATTTGGTCAAAAGAATTTGTCATTTCAATTCTATCAAATTTCACGGAGCAAAACAACCCCTAATGTTTACTTAGAATAAATTTTACTGTGAATATTCTAAAAACTTATTCTCGATGTAATTTCAAAAATTCGGATCTAGGAAGGAAGAAAAGCCTTGCAAACCAACTCTACCAAAGAAAACTTATTCTCAGTATAATTTCAGAATAGATACGATGACACAGAACAAACTAATACGGTTGCATCTTTCACGAACCTAAATTATTCGGAATTTCGTCTTTAATTATTGACGTCCGAGTGTTGCATGAACTCATGAATTCATGAAAAACAAGGTTACCTTAATTATTTAAATGTTGCAACCTAGACAAACATTTTTAAAAAGAGAATGATGTGAATTGAGTTGGTAAATTTGTGTATTAGTGATGAAATTTGAGGTGCACTCTTAGAGTTACGAAAATTTTAAGAGACAATTTAATATTTTATAAGAAAATACCCTTAAATTCGATAACTTTCAACGGGCTGGTAAGTTTAGTTCGAGCTTGATTTGAGTTCAAGTTTCAGTCTGAGATTGGTTCGAGTTTAAAAAATTGCTATTGAGTTCAAGCTAGGTTTTAACTACTCGCGAGTTTTCGAGTTGAGTTCAATCCTGAGAAACGACTATCGAGTTCGAGTCAGATATACTAATACTTGAGTTCGACTCGTATCATTTACACCCCTAATGACTAGCATCTGTATACTCCACTAATTATGAATATGGTCCATGTGATATTCAATTTTTTAGAGTATAGTCCTTCTCACTAGCAGAGTTAACAAGATTATGTTAACTCGGAGGGGCATTTTATTTTTTACACATGTTTTTTTTTTTTTCTATTAAAAATGAATTATATAATGTAATAATATAATATATTTTTATATTATATTATCTAAAATTAATTTGCAATTACTATAAGAATGTTTAGATTACATTATTTTATTATGTGTTTGAAATAAAAGAGACAAACCAAATTTTATTATAAGTTAACTTTTTAAAAAGTTGTTTGGAATAATGCATCTCTTTTTTAAAGAATAGATAAAAACAAAAATGCATACATCAAATTAACTTTATGTTTTTCTAAAATATTTAACTACGGTATTCGTAGGACGTTTATAATTTAGGTAATTTTGGTACATTGAATAATACATGATATAATAGAATAAAGATCTTTGTTTTATATTTGACATGACTTTTATGTGAAACATACATGAATAAAATGGAAGATTTAGTTCTACATGAGACTTAAATTTTATTAATATAATCTCAAAATAAAATTTAATTCTGTTATAAAACATCAAATTGGTCTCCTTTTTTTACATTTTTTAAAATTTATTTATTGTATTTTATGTTTTTTAAACTTTTATTTTACTGTTCTCAAAATATTATTTTTATGTGGTTTCTATATTTTTATTAATTAATGTAGTTTATTGTATATCGGTTATAAAAATGATGTTAGATTAGAGATAATATAAAAATTGGAAACTACATAAACTTTTTATTTTAGTATCATTTTAATTGTTTGGACGAAAACTTTATAATGATATATTTTATTATAAAAAGTAATTATTTTAAAATAATTTAATAAATTATATAAATTAATCAAAATATATGAACAACTCATTGGAGATAAATTGGTCATTTTGTTTGTTCTATTATATCTAGTTCTGTTTTACCAAACGCTAAATAATTGTTTTGTTCAGTTCTGCTTTACCAAATATTAGTTACTTATTTATTACATACATACATATATATATATATATTAGATTATATTATATTTTTCTTCAATAGTAAAAGAATAAAAGATAGGTTTACAAGGATCAAACTACACATGCATTAACTAAGTTAAAAAGATTTTTGTGAAGTCTGTCGGTGAGATGAAACGTGACCATCCCGCAAGGACCATATCCATAATTAACAGAGTATAGGAACATCAGTCGTAATTTTTTTGACATAGCACCACTACAACTACATTTGGTTTCTACGATGCCTAAAATGTCTAAGCATCTTAATATGATACTTTATAACACCAAACAAAAAAATCATATGTAAATATGTTATAATAAGTTTATATGACGGTTTTAAACGTCTTAACACGTTCCTTAGGACCCTCTAAATTTAAAGTGTCATATTATTTATTTTATACGAAACTATTTGAAAAGCTTCTTATAAATACACATGTCCTATAAAAAGATGACTTTATAAGACACTATATCTATAT